GTCTGTCACAGTCATATACAAACAATCCTAACTTGTAGGACCCTCTGTTCTAATAAGGCAACTACTTATCTGAGATCCCAGGGCAAGAGATTCTCTGGTTCACACTCTCCCCCCAGCAAATAGAAATGTTGTTTTAGTAGTTAAGTTTTCAAATATAAATTTGGTTTTAGTAGTTGGGCCTGGAGGTTGAAAAAGATGGGCATCTCTACTTAAGCATGCATGCAACATTAAAAGCGAGCATATTTTTAAGTGATTTTTTTTAAATTAAAGAGTGCCTTGATAGCCTAGTGGGTAAGGCATTGTGATACCAGCCCAAGGTACGAAGTGTGAATCCAGTAACTGCTCCAAGGAAGAAAGCTGGGAGAACTCACCCCTTGTGATTTACAGTCTCTGAAAAACTCCTGGAGGGGTCAGCTATGTGTCAGTTCCAACTCAGTGGCACATTAAAGAGGCAAAGGAATGTGAAAATTTATCTCGTCATGGAGACAAGCATTAGCTGGAGTCATCTCACCAACTCCGTGACTGTACGTTGCAGGTGTCCGCTCAACAATGTCGCAAATGCGTGCTGCTCACTGATGTCTGCGCACCCTAGGAAGGGGGCACTGGCAGCAGAGGTGAAAGCAGTATCTGGCTCTTTAAGAACGACCTTGGCTCAGTGGCCCCCACCAGACTAGTGTGCATATGTTCAATGCTATTTCATGAGAGTGTCACCAACAAAGAAAAATGACTCAAAACAAGGGTAGGGCTAAGAGGACAGTGGAGTTAATGGACCTTTAGGCTGCAAAACAACAAAACAAAAACCCAACTCTAAAAGGATTTGTTTCAAGTTTGAGAAACCATAAGTGATATCAAAATGGTAAATACAGATTTGTTTCCTAAAATTAGAGTAGTAGAATAGAGAATGAGCATGTAAAGTTCACAAAATATAAATATAAGACGAATAAAAACAAGTCATTCAACATCAGGTCTGGGGTGAGACTGAAAAAAATGTGCATATTAATGTATACTGCATCGAAACAGATGAGGGAGAGAACAGTTTAAAAGCGATATATGATCGGGTATTATGGTTATGACAAGAGTCCAGAATGAAGATTGCATAGTGGAATGTACTGGTGGGGCGAGATTATACACCAATGAAGGAATTTTTCTTTTACTTTTCAAAGAGAAGAGCAAACTGGGGGAGGGCGAGGAGGGGCATGGAGAAAAATACAACAATGAATGAATGGAAATCCAAAGTCTCTGTAAATGTTCATTAAAATTAATAAAATAAAATAAAAAAAAATCAACAAAACAAGTCATTCAAACAGCTCAAGAAGTTTCTTATTAAGAAACAAGAAGTTGAATAAAGGTCTAACAAACTTTAGAAAATGTCACAGATGCTTAAAATGTGATTTAGGGGGGCACTGTCAGACATCTGCAGTGACCTGAAGCAAAGCTTTCCTCTTCCCGGGGAGTGGACACTCTGAAAATGAAAATGCTCAACTCCTCAGAGCTGTACGCTTTAACAATCTCTTTTAAAAGCAAAGTCCATTTTGGTTACGCTTTCTCCTGGTGGATTCCAGTGCTTGTTTTCAGCACAGCTGGATGGCAATTTAAAGTAAACTGTCTGCAAAAACTCCTGGGATACTGTTTTAGCACCAAGATATAATTAAGTTTTGGAAAAGGTTATGCACGGAAGGATTTTAGTGGTTTGCGTCAAGCTCCTGAGACTAACGATTTGCCTTGAGGCACTGGAAAATGAAGCGTTAAGGCTGGAAACGGCACCTGGGAGGGGCTGACCAGATGCTGGCACGAGTTCACGTTAAGCTCAGTGACACCAGGCAGTCACTTCATGCACCTGTACTTCCCCTTCCACATCTGTGAAATAGAGCAGGAGATGGACAGAAGATACCATCTCTCAACTCCCAAGGCATAATCTAGTATTGTGAGAAGAAAACATAGGCAATTTTTTAAGTTCTAATAGAGCAGGGTTCAAGGCTCTTGTACATAGGGTCACTATGAGTCACAAGTGACTCAATGGCACATAACAATAACAACAACTACAGCAGCAGCATCGTATTTGGATATTTGATTTTGTCATTTACTTGATTTTGAATAGAATTCTATTGAGTGTTTTCAGAAATGTCAATGACTGCTCTCACCAATCCCATGTTGCCCTCTCACAGTCACAGGAGGGAATGTACCCCATCAGCTCCATGAAGCGGAGGTGCTAGGTCCCCAGCTTTGGCCTCCACAGTTCATTTTCCACCTAGGGTGCTCATTCACCCTCTTCCCCTAGCCAACTATCTGTTCTCCAAACTCCACTTCAATCCACATCCCTTCCACATGGTCTTTTCCACGCTTCCATTCCTCCTGGATCACCAGGCACCTCTGAGACTGGCACACTGAAAAGTGATAAATGCTGTTTGTATGAGTCAATGGGCAATCTCCTCCCGTGAGATTAACTGCCTCTGAAAACCCGCTAGCGGGTCAGCTATGGGCCACTTACAACTTGATGGTACAACAACAACAATGAGTCATCTGCAGTGTTAAATATAATAAAGTCATTACTCTAAGGTTATTTTTTAAAGTGACAGATAGAACTAACAAATCAAATGGGGTTTGGAGTCTATTCTGTATCTGACAACATTTTCAACTGAATGGGAATCAAATACAAAGGGTGTGTGTATGTGTGTGTGTGTGTGTCCAAGCAGACGATCTGTTCCATTGTTTCCTTGGCAGACTGTGCTGGCATGATATAGATGGTGTGTTACTCTGTGAAAGGGAGGGACCACTTCCATCTGGCATATCTCTGGACACTATCATCAGAAATATTCAACTGGAATTAAAAGGTTCTTTTTAAAAAAATGAAATCACCTGGCTTTGGCTTCTACACCAACAATCTTCCATCTGGCAAAAATCTAGCAGCCTTAAACGAGGCTTCCTCAGAGGGTCCAGTTCCGTCATCCAAGAATTCAAGATCTTGACTCTTCCCTCTTCACTGTCCCTATCTCTTACCCTGAAAGACCCAACAACACAAGCACCATACTAATGCATCCTGGACACATTCCTCTTCCTCTAACCTAGAACGTCTCCTGGCCCTGATTAACAGCACTGATTCATACTCGTAATGACAACTTCAGGGCTCTGCAAGATTCAGAAGGATCCTGACTCAGCCCATCCAATAATGTAATCATCAACTCTGTATGGAAAGAGAAGAGATCCTGGAGAAGCAAACACCATGGCGCAGGACAGGGCAAGGTCCTGTCTGTTCATAGGGTTGCTATGAGCTACAGTCAACAATGCCTACCAACCACAGCACCAATGATTGAAAAGGAAAACATAACATAGGAGGCCTTACACTTCTTGACCTCAAAAATCTACTGTACAGTCACAGAGCTCCAAACCGCTTGGCACCAGTACAGCAACAGATAGATAGACCAATGGAACAGAGCTGATGATTAAGAAATAAAGCTGCCAGAATGGATTGCATCTCAATGTTAAGAAGACAAAGATTCTTATCACTGGACCTACAGGTAACATGAACCACAGCTATCTGTACAACATTCTCTGTAGGTTGGAAACAACATCTGATGTATTTATAATCTCCAGACCGACATCCTTGCTCTTCAGCACTCAGGCAGTAGGACTTTCCCAATGCAACTTGTCTTTTGATTTCCTGACTGCTGGTGTTAAGAGTGCTGATTTTGGATCCAAGAAAGCTGATATTGTTAACAATTTCAATCTCTTCTGCATCTTTTATGACGTTACCAATTAGCTTGGTGGTGAGAAATAGTTTTTTTCTTGCTGTTGAGATGTAATCCACATGGAAGATTACAGTCCTTGACTTTCTGCAGCAAATGCTTAATGTCCTCAGTTTCAGCAGATGAGGCCGTGTCGGCTGCATAATGTAGGTTGTTGATGAGTTTTCCTCCAATCCGCATTCCTCCTCATAAAGTCCAGCTCCTGAATGATCTGATCTGTTCTGTGTACAGATCAAAAAGGAATGGATACAAGGTGTGTACCCCTGACATACTCTTTTCCTGGCTTTGAACCATGTAGTGTTTTCTTGCTCTGTTCTGACGACTGCTTCCTGGTCTAAGTATAGGTTTCACATGAGCACAATCTGGGATTCCCATTCTTCTCAAGGCTAGCCACAATCTGCTGTGATCCACACAGTCAAATGCCTCTGCATACCCAAATAACACAAAAATAGACACTGAAATTCACTAAGCTTATAAAAGCTCTGGTGGCATAATGGTTTAGTACTCATCTGCTATCCAAAACGTCACAGGTTTGAATTCATCAGTCACTCTATAAGAGAAAGACCTTATGATCTACTCTGGTAAAGATCCAGCCTAGGGAAGCCCACGGAGAAGTTCCAATCTGTCACCTGGGATGAGGGGATGATGTTCCTTAGAACCAACTCAGTAAAACACAATAAGAAAAACAAGGAAAATGAAGACATCTCTCCCGCCCCTGGCCTTTTTTTGATCAATATTGAGGAGTGGTTTTTGAAGCCAGACTAGGTTCTAAAATCTGGCTTCTCTACTCATTGGCTGAGTGACTTTGGTCAAGCTACTCAAACACTCAGGCCTCAGTTTGCTCACCTGTAAAGTGAAGTATAAGACTAGCACTTCTCTCAGGGAGCTGCTGTGACGCTAACATGATTTATGGCTTGTAATGACTGAGAGGAGTCCCTGAGGAGCACAAATGGCTAACTAGTCAGCAAAGGTTCCTTAGTCAAACATATAGAGAGGCGCTTCTGAATTAAGTAAGGTCTGGCAGTCTGCGCCCCCAAAAGTCACAGCTTTAAAAAGCCTACAGGATGCAACTCGAATCTGCCCATGTGTGGTCACTGTAAGGTTGAATCATCAACTCCACCGCAACGACTGTCAACAAAGCATTTAGTGTAGTGCTGTACCTGGCACATAAGAACCACTCGTAAATGTCAGCTCCAACACAAAGGAGGAAGCCGCCCCCAAGAATGGCCCCACAAACCTTCAGGTGAGGTAACATACCTTAACTTTGGCATTCTCTATCAAATGCTGAGCCATGGATTTTATCAAAATATCAAAGAAAAACCAGGAATACTGAAAGAAGAGACAAAGGAGGGCTTCAGTAAGAGAAAAATAAAATAAGGTGAGAAACACACTTTAGAGGCTAACAATGTTACTGATCCGAAACTGGGGTGACCATATAACTTTCAGTAACATACTATCTTTGAAAGCAGGAGTGGCATCCACTTCCTTAACAACATGCCTCTGGAAACTCTATGAACTTTGAAAAATGACAACAGTTACAGAAAGGCTTCAGGCCTTTTGTTCACAGGGTCACTATGAGCTGTGTTCAACTCGATGACAATCAACAACAGCAAATTATCAGCTCAAGTGGTGTCCGGCAGACATTGTGCCTTCATATGCTGAATGTATTTCGTTCCACTGGACACCTGAGTGCATACACTGAATGTGGACACATGGACACTCAATCCAACCAGAGGGTCTGTTATTTGAAGCTTAGGCACCACCTTGCCTCCTGGGTGGTTCTGTTGCCTGGTGACACCTGTCATTGTTATCTGTTTCCTGCAGTATATTTCAATACAATGGCTTATTCAGATGCAAAACAGGAGAAAAAGTTCTGAACACAGTATTTTCTTTTCTTTTTAAGCTCCTATCTCAAGATCCAGGAATCAAACTTGGACCTGGAGAACTGACTCTGCTGTCCCTTGCCAGGGGAAGTGCAGAGAGTCTCCTAAAAGTATACAAAAGGGGTGGAGTAATAAGTCTCTGGAATTCTAATTTTCCTTAATCAGCTTCAATACTGCAGACCACACTGGCCCTCCCAGCGTACCTTCAGAAGCTTGTTGCTGGTGAGGAAATCAGCAGAAGGCTTGAGAATGGTGGTCATGGACTTGGCAAGTTCTTCATGTACTGTCTTATATTCGGAAGCAACATACGGCTCAGCCTTGTAAGCATACTTTCAAGAGAAGAGAAAGATGCTTTAATGTGCTTGTTTTCAAAGCTTTACTCAAAGATCAAAGCCAGGGATAATATTTCATGGGTGGGAGGGGGAGGTATGGCAATGGAAGGCAGGAGGGGTGATCATGACATGACAGAAAAAAGAGGGACCCATGAACTCTTCAAGATATTGAATCACAGGTCTCAGATCAGTGGTCGCCCAGCCCTGTAACTCCTTCTCTAAGAAAGACTTTATGGGAATGGGACATATGAAATGCAGTAACAGACATCCTGAAGAACCCAATTTAAAAAACTAATATAAAACTAACATACTTACAAGCCATAAAGGTATCTAAATCCTACAAGAACTTGGGTGACATTTTAAAAGTTTTCAGTTTGTGGCATAGGGGGGAAAAAAACCTTGAGATTTATCATAAGGACATTTCTTCCTATTCCATACAGCTATCTAGTTTGACAATGTCGGAACTAATCTTCCTATCTCAGAATAAGCAGCTTTATTAGGAATTTCAGATGGGAAAAAGGAAAATATACCAGTGGCCTAGTCAAGAGTCTTACATAAAATTTGTTTTAAATGTCAATGTGATTAGGGTCATATTATGTGCAAAACACACTGAAAGAAACATAGTTAAAAGAATGAAGGAGATAAACTAATGACTTCCCCTCTTTAGACATCTATTCATACTGGCTATGAGGAAGAGAAGAGAAAATATAGGCATTAAGTTTTAACTACATCCCAAAATAGCGAGACTAAAAAAAGACCCCCAAAAAAACCTGAGAAGAAAAATCCGAGAGCCACAGATTCAAATGACCAGGACAGTTTCTTTTACATACCTTTACATATGACCTCAAATGGCTCTCCAGTCCTTCCTCATGGCACTGGGCAACAACATGAATAATGACCCTACACACCACAGGGATGAATAAAGCAATGAGTAATAATGTGAACATGGACACATTTCATTATCAGAGTAGAACAAGGATGAAGCTACTGGCTCCACGAAGGAAACAGAGAACTAGATGTGGTCCTCTGTATGGGATCCAAAGCAATTCCTCAGGTCTCGTGCACGACACGTACCAGCACCGCAGGTGTGCATGACAGCGCTCCAGATATGGATAGATTGAAAGAGCAGAAGCACAGCCATCCGTCTGTCTGCCTGCCTTACCGTGTCACGTTGACCGCAACTTCCTCCTGGGTGGCCCTGGTGAGGACGCGGAACAGCTGGTTTAAGATGGTGGGGAGGAAGGCAATCATCACGTGGCCTTCCATCGCGTGAAGACTCTACGGGGACAGAAGGGGGAGGAAGTTCCCATTGTCTTTAGAAAGCACACCCGTCCAGAGCCATTCCCACTTGGTTTCAAATGAAAATGGACAAATTCCATCTGAAATGAATGAAAGGCCATGGTAGGTACATAAAGGGCCCTAAAGATTTCTTTATTCCAATCTCCTAAACCTGTAAACAGGATCCACAGAGGCAGAGAGCTCTGGTGGCCTAGTAGTAAGGAGCTGTGATGCCATCCAAAGGCACATGGTTCAAATCCACCAGCTGCTCTGTGACAGAAAGATGGTAAATCAATTCCTGTGTGATTTATAGGCTCTGAAAACCCACTGGGGGGGTTAGCAATGAGTTGGTTCTGACCTGACAACATGTAAGAATAACAACAGCGTTGTTGTTAAGTGCTATAGAGTTGTAGATGACTCATAGTGACCCTATGAATGAAAGAACTGAACACTTGTATAACTTTCATCGTTTCTCCAAGTTCATAGAGTTTCTGGAGGCAAGCTTTTTGGAAGTGGATGCCATTCCTGCTTTCAAGCTTGTTTTAATCAGGAAGCTCCACCAAACCCTGTCCACCATGGGTAACCATTATCATATTTGACACATCAGTGTCACAGTGTTTAGCATCAGAGCAACCACGAGTTACCTCTGTACAGCAAATGGACAGACCAGTGCTATACCACTTAGAAGAATGTTTGACCAAAAACAATTAAAACCAGGCCTTAGGGAAAAATGCATGGGGCAAAGATGAACCCAAGAATAATACTATTCTCAAGTGGTACTATTACTGCTTCTAGGACTGTTGTTGTTGTTGTGTGCCATCAAGTGAGAACAGACCCACAGCTGACCTTTCAGAGGCAGTAACTGCATGGGAGGAGATTGCTTATCCTTCTCCCACAGAGCAGCTAGTGGAGTTGAACTGTGAGCCTCAGGGATTAAAGCACAGGTTCTTATCACTAGTCCACCAGAGCTTACTATTAATGTCTATCATTAATAGCCATAATGTCTCACACCCAGGCAAGAACTTCTTTATAGAGGTTTTTAAGGGACAAAAAGAAATTAAAACTCAACCTATCCCAAAAAATGGTTACTTCTTTAGAATTTCTACTTAAGCGAGCAGTGCTTGGGTTCTTAAAAGCTTGCCAACTTTTAACCCAAAATATAGTAACTGATCTCTATTCACCTGGAACAACAAGGGAATAACACGCACTGGTAAAAAACAGTAGACTATAGGTCCAAGCGCCTCTGTGACATCCTGTCTCCTTTTCCATGAGACCAGAAGAAATAGATGGTGCCCTGCCACCACCACTGAACATTGTTTTCAAGTACCCAAGAGATGATCCTGATCAAGAGAAGGAAAACTGAAACACAACTTCAAATTCTCCTGGAAACCAGACTAATTGTATCCACTGAGACTCACTGAACCCCCAAATAAGAAAAATAAGGTAAAATCTTGAACCAAAACTATTCAATAAAGTCATTTTGTGTTCAATAACAGTTTAGCTTCACGGACAATGAATGTCGTCCTTGAGCACTGATTTCTTAACAATTTCTATGGGACTAAATTGAGAGTAATAACATGAAAGCAAAGATGAGAACTTTCGGGGGCTGAGGGTCCAAGTTAACAACATAAGCAGGGATGGTGAGAATAGTGGCACAACGTGCAGCCTCTATCACTGATCTGTACATGTGAAAAATGTTAAGTGGTGTATGTATTCACCAAAAGCAAAGTTAAGTACAAAGAGTGATTACTAAGAAATCCATCTGTTACCTTAAGATACTTTACAAGTTCGTTCCCTAAGGCCTGGGCACCAGATTCGGTTTTCTGACAGTACTGGAAAAAATTATGTAAATGCTGATCCTAAAAAAAAAAAAAAAAAAAAAAGAAACATTATTAACATGCATATTTTTTGTTAGATTATGAAACTGGTAACATAGAAATAACACCAAAAATCTGGAAAGATCCATCAACAAATGAGGAAAATTTGAGAAATGTTACTTATGTTAGGTATTTCATTTTATCAGCATATATTAATACTTTAGAGATACTTTCTTAAAAAAGAATGGAAAAAAGAAACAAAGTACAAAAGTATATTGACAGCGTACATCAGTTAGAATTTGGTCACAAAACAATGTGGACGCTCACTGAGAGAGAAATCATGGCTCATTCTAACAGGTTAGAGCTGTACCTGAGTGTACACTGTGGAAACCAGGTGAGTTGACACTTTCAACAGTGGCTTGCCTCCATCAACCCATTTAATTTCTGGACCATAATGCTGAAAGAAAAAAAAAGGCAGAAAAACCCCCATCACTACAAATTTGCTATCTCAGCTTCAGACATGATCTCCTCCATGTTCAGACCACCAATTATTTGGAATATTTTATGTATACACAATATAAGTCTAAACTTGACATGCTTAAATGCATACAAACAGTAAAAGGTTGTTCAAAACAAAACGCATTTTTTTCTCATCTACAAATATAAACCTAAATAACTTGAGATGGCTCAAAGAAGTAAAAATTAACAAACTTACTGAAGACATTTGAGTGACATCACGGTTTAATGAATTAGGATGGTGCCCTAACGGACTACCATATGAATGAAAAAGTTAGCTACTAGACTTATAAAATGCTGAAAGAAAATTCCTAGTCCTAGGAATAAAATATAGGAAGATGATTCCTAACCCTCATTATCTTTATTTGAGCATGGCATGGCTATCTGAGAGACAGACTTCCACTTCATGCATTATATCCCAGTGTTTATTTCCCTGCTTGCACCCTGCAAGTCCAAGCCTTATGAAATATGCAAACTACAACTTTGGTGATAACTGCTCACAGCATTGCCTTTCAAAAGTCTAAGTGAATCTGAGAAGTAACTAAAACTATAATATTGGGACTAGCAAACATGCTATGTAGTTTGCTTGGGATTTTTTGGTAAGAGCATTGGTGGGTGAGAGTACGTGCTATCTAGTTCTTCTGAAAGAACTGTGAAAAGGCAATTTTAACACCCACTTACCCTGCCCATCCCCAGCTCCTGGTAGCCAAGATAGCCAGATGGAAGATTGACTGACACGGGGATGTGCTGCTCGCTGGTCACCACCCTTCCATCTTTCAGAAGAGGAAGCCAGGAATATCCAACTGTTGAGAACAAAGAACAACAAAAATAAAACATAATTTTATGTGAATGAAAATTTAAGAGGAAAAAGTACATCACTCAGAGTAAGATATTAACCAGGTCTTTGCAGAACAATGTCAATATGTTGTTTGCCCTGTTTGGGATAAGAGTTCTAAAATGATCTTTAATAAAAAGCTACACAGGAAATCAATGCGTGGGCTCTTCTTCACCCATCAGCCAAAGGGTACAGAGAAAGAACTTAATATGAACACAATTATAAAAACCAGAGGAAGAAAGCGTTCCAGACCTTGCGTTTCGACCACATCCTTCTTCTTTGTGCTTCCTTTACTTGAATTATCACAGCTGACGTGGAAAAACGTGAACAGCAAGTGGTGCTTTTCATGCAGCTGGGTGGGTAATTCTATCTTAATCTGCATGGAAGACCAAATAACAATCTTTTTGGTATGAAACAATTTCAAAAAAGTTTTAAGGGAGAGCAGTGATGCAACATGTCACCCAATAAACCATAAACATGCATTTGTTCTCCAGAAAGATCGTAACATTTAGATTCTAAGCCATTTGAGATTGTAAATTGGGCTAAGGGGGGGAATAAAAGTGGATTCTTAATGGATGAGAGATGAGAAGAGGATTAGTGACTATTTCAACATTAAGAGAAATACTCTGGGAGCTCTGATGGCCTAATGTAAGGTGCTGCACTGCCAAAGCAAAGGTTCAAATCTACCAGCTGCTCAGCAGGAGAAAGATGGGCAATCTCTGCCCGTGTGATTTACAGCCTCTGAAACCCTGCTGGAGGGTCAGCAGCAACAGTCACTAAACAAATACTAGAATACAGACATCAGAAACCACCACTTTAACTTAAGCTAGCTAAGATCTTAAAGAAAAAACAAAAACCACAAACCAAAAACAAAAACCCAGCATGCTGTAGTCACATAGTTTTCGAATAAGTTTTTTTTTGTCCCTTTTTTTTAATGTCAAAGTTCAAGTTTAATAGAACTACTTGGAATTAAATTGGATCCTTCCAGCCGTGTGGTTCACTTTTATTTTCCACATGAAATATCCTGAATTTTTTTTTAATAATTTTAATGAGCATTTACAGAGATTTTGATTTCCATTCATTCATTGCTGCATGTCTCTCCCCGCTCAGCCCTCCTCCCCGAGTTCACTCCTCTCTTTCAAAAGTAAAAGTTTTAATAAGTTGCTTTAATATTTCTATATAAGTCAAGTCAATGGTAAAAAAGGAAGAGTCCCAGAACCAACAAAAATAATTACACTAAGAATTTAAAAGTAAATTTGTATTCGAATTTTGTAAATAAACGAGCAGGAAAAAAAAAGAAGAAATGTATCAGAACACTAAATAAATTTGGTAGTAAAGATGACTATGTTTGGGAGTATAGCTTTTTCTTTTCTATATTACCTGCATTTTCCAAATTCTTTTTACAATGAATACGTTACTTTTATAATCAGACAAGCAATACAGGAATCAAATCAGTATTTAGTTCTATCACTATAACTGGAGTGTCTTTTACATATTATTTTACCAAGCAAACAACTCAGGGTCATCCTTCAAGCTAGTGGGGCTGTTCGTTTCCGCTTGAGATCATCACTCACCTCATCATAGAATTCTGGGTTTTGGTGGTGGTGTAAAACGGCGGCAAAGGCGCTTCTCATGAACACTGGCCCACCAGGTCGGCCATAAATGCACTAAAAGAGAAGTCAGCAGAGAGAAACACTAGTGTTCAACAAGGAAGACTCCAAACTAGAACTGTTCAAAGAAGAAGGCGTGACAACAAAATAAGTTTAACACATCCACTCTAGAGTTTTGGTTTTTTTAAATGATTCTGATTGCCAGAAGAGGCTCCGGTCTGTAAGCTTCTTCACAGCTGGGCATAGAGCCTCTAAGCTCATCCTCAAGCCCTCCAACTCCCTCCCACTCTAGCCTTGGAGCGCTCTGCCCCCAGTCACTTTCACATCCCCAGATCTTTGATTATGCAACTCTTTTATTTTAAAGACCTTCCTTCTATCTGCACCAGGCCAGGCAAACTCACATAGCAAGACGTGTCTGATCTTTCTCAGTGTTACCAGACCAGAAAAGAGCACTTACTAATAATGTCTTATATGTGTTCCCTTAGCAATTTTTGTGTACCCTCCTTTCACAGTGATTCTTTTTTGTCCTAAAAAAACCCCACTTCATTGCAGTTCCATTCATGTTGCCAAAAGACTAATAAATTACATATCATTGTCTCATGACTGTCTTTTCCACCAAACTAAGTCCTTGAAGACAGAGGATAGAAACAGTATTTTATTCTTGTCTGCTTTGCAATCACTTTCTGTGTATCAGAGAGCTGGATGATGACTAGGGAGGATAGAAGGAGAACTGATGCCTTTGAGCTGTGGTGCTGGAGAAGAGTACTGAATAAACCATGGGCTGCTAGGAGAACAAACAGCTTTGTCCTAGAGAAGGTCAAACCATGCTGCTCCTTAGAGGCAAGGATTCTGAAGGTTCATCTGACATACTTTGGACATGTTGCAAGGAGCGACCAGTCCTTGGAGAAGGATATCATGCTTGGAGGGTGGAGGGACAGCGCAGGAGGGGAAGATCCTCTATAAGGTGGGCTGATTCAGTGACTGGGGTAATCGGGATGGGTGTGTCAGAGGCAGTGAGATTGGCACAGAACAGAGCAGGGTTCAGGGCTGTTGTACATAGGGTCGCTATGAGTCGCAGGCAAATCGATGGCACATAACAACTACAACAACAACTGCATTGTTGTACACTTCTCTCCTTTGATAGTCATTATCTTATCATTTACACTAAAGCCAGAGTTACTCTAGAGTTAGACTTTCTGGGCTTGACTCGTGAGTCTGCTAAATGTTAACATGTGACCCAGAATAAGTTGTTTTAACTCTATGCATCAATCTTCTCACTCAAAATACGTGAAGACTGACAAGCAGCTAATGCAAAAGTAGAAGGTCAGTGAAAGAGAGGAAGACCTTCAATGTAACGGACTGATACTATGACTGGAATAATCGGTTTGAGCACAGTGGATATCATGATAGCGGCACAGGATAAGACAAGGATGACTTCTGAAAAACAAGCTAGAAAACACTGTGGAGCACAGTTCTACCTGATACACATGACTGGTGACAGAGCGGTCCAAGGCTAGAACAGAAAGGAGTTGGAGGGCTTGAGGATGCGCTTAATGGCTCTATGCTCAGTTGTGAAGAAGTTAACGTTCATTGAAAAGACTTGAAGGCAACTGGTTTATTGTCAATCTTTCCTTATTACTGATAAAATATATAATTCCTAGGACCCTTCAAAATGCCTAGCTCATAATAACTGCACAATAAATATTAACTGAATTGAATACGAATAAGAAACTTTATCCTCAAAGAGTATACATCCCCACCCAATAACACAACAAAGCAGAAAACAAGGAGTAAGAACTTAATTATTCCATACAGTAATTCCTAGCACCCTGCATAATGCCTAGCTCACAGAAAGTGTGCAAGAAATATTAACTGAATTGATTACAAATAAGAAACTTCATCCTCAAAGAGTATAACAAAACAGTAAGAGTCAACAGGAATAAGAACTTGATTATTCCATATTCTTTAAGGTTCAGTACATGGGGTTATGTTACAAGCAACATTACCTATTTTTGTGTTGATGTCAATTAAAACATTCCTTTACTTGTACAATTCTAAAGTGTGAAATCCAAGTATGCACCTGAACATATATTAAAAAAACCAACCTTCAGAGGTTGAGCATCTTCTTCATCTGAATCTTTAAATTCAATGCCAACAGCAATGTTTCTAGCCTGCAGCAATATTTAAAGGGGAGGGTGGAGACAAAGTGAAAATCAACCCAAACGAACGATTTAAGTATTTAGTAAACAACACGGGAAATCAAATCCTAAGAGAGTTTGATATGAACAGTGAAACCCTATCCTTTGTACCCACCTTGGCAAAAGACTTTTGACTGTCGTATTTCAAGTACTTAGGATACACATAAAGGTGATTGTTGTAGATGGTATAAGGCTGGGTGTGTTTTGGTATGCAGGGCACAAATTCCTCCACTTCAAAGGTGATTGGAGTTTTAATACAGGTTTCAAAGTGCTTCATGGGAATGTATGATGAATTAACATAATCTGAAAAGACATCAAAATAAAACGTAAGTCAAAAGCCAGCCAAACAAAAATGTGTCCAATAAACTACACAGAATTTATACTTACTGGGCAGGTCTGAGGAAACATTATCAATTGTGATGTCTAGATTGCCTAAAATCACTGGAAGTTTAGCCATCTTCTCAGGCCTAAAAACAAAAGGTGAAGAAGGTAAGTAAGTTACGGCAGCCCTAACACATGAATTCTTGGGCAGCATTTACAGGGCAAATAAATGCAAATCATAAAGAGAATTTTAAATTTTATCACTCTTGCTGTTGTTAGGTGCTGCCAGGGAGTCTAATAAGAGACCATGTAACGAACTGGAGCCTTGTTACCAAAGAAAATCACAGTATTGTCATTTCAATATGTTATTTGAATAAAATGCTAACTCTAAGTTTAGCTTTGAAATCAGATGCATATTTTATGATTCTAGAAACTCTGGTGGCCGAGGGGTAAGGAGCGTATGGGTTGCCAACCCAAAGGCGTGTGATTCAATCTTCCTGCCCTGGCAGGAGAAGGCTGGGAGATCTCCTCCTGTGGGATTTAGTGCCTCTGAGAACCCAACGGAAGGTCGGCCATGGGTCAGGTCTGACTTGATGAAACACAACAAAAGCAGCACTTTTGAATATTTTAAGTGTTCAATGCCACATGTGGCGAGTGGCCACCAGGTTGGGCATCACAGGTCTAGATAATCAGTGTCAACAAAACTATTCTAGTTAAATATTCTTTTTTTTTTAAATTTTATTTTTAATTTTTTATTTTCTTATTTTTGTGTGAGTATACCGTCAAATCAGATCTGACTGGTACAGGAGGAGATTGTCCCTCCTTCCCCGGCAGAGCATCTGGTGGATTCGAACCATGCGCTTCTGGGATTGTAGTTGCAGCTCCTTACCACTAGGCCACCAGAGCTCCCCTTCTAGTTAAATATTCTTGAGCCATTTTATTACACATTTTTAGCTCTTTTGGAGTCATGGAAACAGAAACTTGGAAGTCATCTTAGATCTCAGTGTCTAGCAAAATACTCTGCACAGAACTAAGTGCACTGTGGATATTTATTTTTGTCTCTGGTCTAATTCAATGCAAGAATCTCTTCTCTGACATTCCTGACAAGCACTGTTGAGGCCTCAACTCCTCTTGACTAGTCACAAGGACCATCCCAGCACAGCCTTTCCATCTTCACACTGTCTTTCACACTAGAGAGAAACTTCCATCGGTCTAGGGTTCTGGGTACCATAAATACATAATTTATAAAATATAAATGAGATGTTTTCCTAGTTGAAAAATGCATTAAAGGAAGATGCATAAGATTTGAGAACAGAAGACTTCAGATGAGTCTAATAACTTTGTTTAAATAGTTGAAAACTGTTAAATAGAGAAAAAAAAATTGGTCTATTGGTGAATGGAATTTTCAGAGCTCAAGTTCCGCCACGTCTCACTGACAACATGGTGCTCAGAAGCCAACGTCTATGGAAACAGCATTCAGGAAATCAAATGGGGTGTTACACCTGGCAAATCTACTGCCAAAGACTTCTCTAAAGCACTGAAAACAAAGATGTTCCTTGAGGACTTAGATGCACCTGGCACAAGACACGCTGCAGATGTATTTGAAAGACAAATAGGAAAAATCAAAGAACTGATGTCTTTGAATGAAGTGTTGGTGAAAAATACCGAATACACTAACAACTGCCAGAAGAATGAACAATCTAATCCTGGAAAATGTACAGCCTGAATGCTGCCTGGGGCGAGGATGGTAAGACTGCACCTCAGGTACGCTGGGCACGCTGTCAGGAGGAATCGGCTCCTGGTTAAAGACATCACGGTCACTAAAGTAGGGGGCCAGCAAGAAAATGGGGTAGACCATCAATGGGACAGAATGACACAATGACTGTAGCAATGAGTCTACTCAAGTTACAACTGTGAGGATAACAGAAGAGTGAGAACACTCTGAGCGGGAAGTCGTCCACTTTTGACCAACATACTCTCCACTGTTAAAGCCACAGTACTATTAGTTTGGGGCATCTACACCAATTTAGTGACCTACTCATGAACAGTTTTTATATCTTTTTTAAAAAATGTTTTAATTTTATTATTTGTGTGTGTGTGTGTACCATCAAATCACATCTGACTGGTATAGGAGGAGATTGCCCCTCCTTCTCCAGCTCTGAGCATCTGGTGGATTTGAACCATGCACCTCTGGGATTGCAGTGCAGCTTCTTGCCACTAGGCCACCAGAGCTCGCCACAATTTTTAAATCTTACATAAGCGTTCCTAGTATCCCACATTGTCCCAACTTGTTTTTAAATAATTATGTTTTTTGGACCAAAGAAAATGATTTAGTAGTGTCTTTACAAAATTCCATCTTTTTATATTTTGGCCATTTCTACTTGGTCAAAATCTTTTTAATTCAAGATTTTATCATCTAACATATTAGGTCTTCCTATTAGCTTTGTGCCATGAAGACATTTCGTTCATACGTTATAGTCTCATAAAGGTCACTCATGAAGATGTTACATAAGATACTGGCAAGAGCAAGTGCTCTTTTAAAACACTAGAGATCCCTCTTCCAAACGGTTAGACATCATCTATCTTCAACTTGACTCCCACTCAGAGTGACTGCACAGGGCAGAGGCGAACTGCCCCACAGAGCTCCTGAGGTGGTAATCTTTATGGAAACAGACTGCCTCATTGCTCCTGCATGGAACATCTGGTGGATTTGAACTCCAGCCCTTTTGGTTAGTTCAAAACCTAACCACTGCACCACCAGCACTCCTTCTAGGCAGGTACTAGACAATTACTCTTGCTTCCTTTCATCTGGTTACTCTAGCTATCGCACAAGTGTCCTCATGTGTACGCAGCATTTTTCACTTGTTCAGAGGGTAATACAGTACATTCACTCTGTCAAAGACCACATTCATCTGTATGAGCTTGGTATCCCACAGTAAAGAAGAGATCATTAGGATGACTAGCTTATCCTAATGACTGCAATGTAATTCCTTACTATACTAGAAAACAGACCAGTAACTCGTGGCTTTTGGTAAGCCAACTATTTAACAACTTCTTTTAGGATGTAGCGTTGCTTGGATAATAAAAACTCAGTGGCTGACCGAATTAGTACTTACTTTTGTTCTCATCTTTGAAAAGTTGCTCCCTTCAGTGTTTCACTTCCCTTAGACATAACTGCATCTATTAAACAGTCACACATGTAGCGCCTCACTATACCTGGGAACACCAGTCATTTGAAACAGGAGTTCCTAAAATTCCCAAGCCCTTGCCTTCCTTATGCCTACAGGCTAGGCTGGCTATGTCCACTTCGCCTGGTGGTGTCGTGCATAGGGAGCTGTACTCCTAAACCACAGGCTGAATCTCTCTGGCTGTTCAAATCCACCATCAGTTCCAACGGGCAAAGATGGATACTCTCTTCCCATCCAATGTATTGTTTCAGAAACCTGCTGGAGGACCAGCTATGTATGAGCTGGTTCAACAACCACGAGCTTTAGAGTTTTGTCCATCCTAAGGACAACTTTTTCCCTCTCGTTTTCCTTTGTCTTTTGCCTGAAACTGGATTTAAATTAGCAATCCTGATCCCAAGAGTGTCAGGGGATACATTTTTTTTTTCTCTCATCAAATCTGAGATGGTATTTTTGAGAAAACAATGACAAAAGAAACAACAGCTTTGGATTCAATCTGTGTTCCCAGGGTACTAACATTATTCTCTATAAGAAAGAAAAGGGCCAGCGGGCGGCAGGGAGAGCTGTGCGTTTGGCCCCGGGCAGGTGGCAGGGTGAGCCCTGCGTTCAGCCCCCAGTCCTTGGATTGTACCATCCGACCCCTGGGTAGAAAAAACTGCCCAGGGTATACAGAGAATTTTATCGAGGCTAGTTTCTTCCACCTTCTCCCCCAGTACACCCATAAATAACACCTCCTAAGCCCTTCTATCTGTAACTTTCAAGTTTGTTCTCTCTAGATTTGCTCCCTTTTCTATAGGTAACCTTAAGACTGAATTTTACTCCACACCTGACCCCGAACCCAGTTCCAGAGATAAAAAGGAAATATAATGGCCAGTGAAGGAAGCAAAGGAGGATGGAGCCTCAGGGTTCAGTCAGCCATCCCCACTGGACCCACCTGGGAAAACACTTTGTAGTCCAGAGGGGAGTAAATATCAGGAAAACATCTTCTAACAGAACAAGAAGGCAAGCAGCTTCAACTCAAGACCACCAATAAGGTGATAAAGTGTGTTCCCTTTCCCCCTTCACATCAACGCCCCTGTTCAACATGAAGAAGCCAGAGAGTCTGCACCCAATTTCCAAATGAGAAACCCACAAGTGAAAAAGACAGTTTTTTTAATCACCAATGGACTATGCTTACCATTGCCCTGAATCATCTGGTCCCCAATGGGTCCTTTTCATTTCCTTCACCTGCTCCCTCCACCAACCTAATTGTACAGCATTGCAACTGCATCCCTGCAATTTTCATCCCTGCCCATCCTCACCCTTCTGCTCCCAACCCTCACCTCCATATATCCCCAACATGTTTTTCCCAATAAAATTAAATTTAAAAAAAAGAAAAGAAAAGTTAGAAGGGGGGGTGGGGAGCAATGTTGATGTTAAAAACTGAACAACAAAGTCAATGAAAAAGAAACACTCCATTTCCCTAACTCCATGGTGAAGAAAATAGTATAAGGGACCCTGGCACTGCTTTGGATTCTTACAGAGAAGGTTACAAGGTATCCTATTGCTCTGTGTATTCTGTGCCTTTGCATCTGATCCTTATTCTCAGTTTTGGGGGCTTTAACTAGCTGTCTGGAGCACTAAATCCGTGGTTAATGAGCACGACCACACCACACAGGGAAGCACACACTCAGCTTTCCTCTGAGTTCTGCTCTGAGAAAGTTCTTGCTCCTTGCTGCCCGGCTGTGCCTTTACACTCAGATCACCTGCAGATCATGACCCGAGAAAGCATCTAGGTGCCACTGAAGGGGTCAGAGCTCTGAGAACAGCTCTCTGAAGAGCCACTACAGGGCCGAATGCTGGGGATGAGGGGTGAGGGGCAGCTGGGTTTGGCAGGTTTCAATCTAACTAGCTTTGGGAGTAACTTCCATGCTCAGTGTATTTGAAAATGCCATTGTCTGTTTATTATGAATACAACAGCAAATGCCAGTTTAAAGAGTTCATGTAAAATCAAGGAAAACTATAAAATGGAAAATGAAAAATCACTCATATGTCTGTGCCTCAGAGACAACCATGATTATTAACACCTTGGTGTGTATATCTTACTAATTTTTTTTAAATTTTATTATTTTTGTGTGAGTGTACCGTCAAATCAGATCTCACTGGTACAGGAGGAGATTATCCCTCCTTCCCCGGCAGAGCATCTGGTGGATTCGAACCGTGCGCCTC